AAATGCATCTCAGTTACAAGCTTGTAGCACTAATCTTACATCATGTGTGTATTTACATACTGTAAATGTAATCTGTTATTAAGGCTCCCTATTTGTATAATATGATTTCCTACACTACTAATATGTTTCTTTCTTGATTATATTAGGGTGGTGTATAGGTGATGATCATTGGGGTTTTTTTCAGAGAAATAACATTCTGTGACTTTCCTTGGAAAATAATTTTATGTAACCAGTAAAATACAATACAGAGAATGAATATATTTTAACATTTAAATATAAGTCATCAAGAAAATGCTGATATAGTTTTCCAAAAATACATTTTAGCAGAGCTTGCTTTTTCCATGAAAACCTATGTAGTCTTCCCCTATTTTTGGATTACTTGGCATGAAGACCTACAATATTCCATTTTAATTCCTAATTTAGGGTGGTATGCACTGAGCATCTTTTCAGCAAAAACATATTATAATGTTTTTATAACTTTGATTTTTGACCTTCATTAATGTGTCCTATATATAAGATTCAAAACGAAAGGTAATGTGATTTTGCTTTATCATCTAGTATGAACTAGAAGTGCACTAACAGTTTGTTATTGATCATAAGTATGTCTTTTCATTTAATGCCCTAACATAAAAGACTATAGGCTCAATTATTAAGCTTTAGACAAGCCGAAGGCACTCTATTTTCAGCCATGTGACTGTAATTTTCATTTTTAATTGGTTTAAACTGAAAATAACTGTCACTTATAAATAAAAGTATCCTTATCCTCGTGTGTTAGCTTTTTAAATTGACCCTTTAAATCTGTTAAACTCCACAAGTAAAAAAATATTTTCTAAACCACTGTGTACCTGTATTTCATGTCTTTCTGTGCAGCCACTGCTTCACTTTGTCTCAACAATGTTGTTCAGCCTGGTTTAGTTTAAGACTAAAGAGTGTGGCTTCAGCTTTCTCAGCCTGCTGTCATTTCTCTTATGTGGTCAGAATGAAACTCATGCTTAAACAGCTACCAACAATGCAATGTAACAATGCTTAAACAGCTATCAACCAATACCAGGTATTCAAATATGAGACATTAGAATTGATGTGTATAAAACATAGAATTATGTATTACTGTTATCTGTCTACCAACTAAAATACACATATCCTCTATTTTTTAGCACACCCCCCAACACATCCGGTATAATTAAAAAAATCCACACACCCCACTGCCAATAACATTGTTTACTTGGTGCTAATTTTGTTTTGGTTTTTAGCTAGTGATTCCACATGGTGGTGGTGGTGGTGGATAATAAATAGAGGTTGGGCGTATTTCACTAAAAAGGCATTCTGTAGAGTCTGTTCACACTTGTGGAGAACTGCGTTTTTCAGCAGTAGATTGTTTTCAGTGTGCCCTGTTTACTTACCTTACTTACTTACACTTACCCCATAGTTCTCTTTTAACTTGGAAAGTAAAAAACTGCTAGCTGATATTTTTGGTAAAAGAGACTCTTCTGTAAAATCATTGCCCCTGCCTGCTGGCACTGTTTTTAAAAGTCATGCAGTCATGCATGCACAGCT